CGCTCGTGAAAGGGAAAGCTCCTTGGAGGTCAGTGGTGGGAAGCAGCGCCTGGAGTGCGGTCTGATTCCCGGGCTGCACATGTGGGTCCGGAGGTTTGGTTTGTTTGTTAAAAAAATAAAGTCGAACGGATCTGTTGGTACCGTGCTTTTTTTAAGGTGTCTCCAGGTAACGAGTACGGTATTTCTGGCAGAGAAACAGAGGAGTGGATCTGGAGTCTGCTCTAAAGGGAGCTCTCACCAGGACCTGTGTAAATACCTACATGCTGCGCCTTGTCTCCCATATTCCAGTGGAATACTTGAAGTGTTCGCTGGGGTGCGTGGGTTTTTAAAATTTCGTTTAAAAGCACAGATAACAGTATACTTTGTTTATGTATATTGTTCTGAGTTGAGCACCAGTTGGAACGCGAAGCACCTGTGGGTTTCTCCGAATCCACCTGCTAGTAACAAAATCAGACTTAATTTTATTACTTTTTTCTGTGTATTGGCGGGTTTTGCTTGTGTTATTTACTGATATCATGTACTGTAACTAAAGCAAAATAATTCCATTTTGGCAAGAATTGGAGGCATGCAGCATTTATTATATTAGGTAAAACGAGTCTCTGTTAATACAAGCTTTGAATAATTTTTTTTTTTCATTTGGCTTGCCTTCCAGTAAAGCTTTTACGTTTGTCTAGCCTTTCTGCCATAGGAAATGTTGGGATAACTTGATCTTTTTTTTTTCCTTTTCTGAACTATTTTCTAGGAAGAAATTCTTCACTCAGAAGGTGGTGAGGCACTGGAACAGGTTGCCCAGAGAAGTTGTAGATGCCCCATTCCTGGAAGTGTTCAAGGCCAGGTTGGATGAGGCTTTGGGCAACCTGGTGTAGTGGAAGGTGTCCCTGCCCATGGCAGGGGGGGTTGAAACTAGATGATCTTTGAGGTCCCTTCCAACCAAAACCATTCAGTGATTCTATGATTCAGAGTAATGAGTTAGGTCACTCACGTTTTTCTAGTACTCATGTTACAGATCTTGTTTTATCAGAATGCTGAAAATGGTGCCTCTAAGGGTAAAGGGATAGTAAGTTGAACTTTTTTTTTTGTGGCAAAATGGAAGCAAAATGTCTTTGTTGATAATTGAATGGCTTTTCACATGTAGAAGTTGTACTTGAGTCTCCTTTCATCTCTTTGGCCTTCTACCTCCGTGAGTGACTTCTGGGATGAAGATGTGAAATTCACTTCCTATTCCGAGTTTATTCTGCAGCTTGCATTGAAAAAAAGATGTATATTTAGCTGTTGCTGTGATAAAAGTGCTTTGGCAAAGAAGGATTTCTAATTTTCCCCTTTAATTCATCTGTAGGGAACACTTTGGTCATTTAAGGTAGAACTCTCTGATTTGAGGTACTTTAGGGTATTATTTAGGTGTTTCTAGCATCTGATGAGAAAAAAAGTTTAACTTTCGAAAACATTGGAAGTTTCCTAAAAACTGATATTTTAGGCAGTGTAGTGATAACAAAGTCAAGGCAATTCTACAGGAAAGTAATACTGAATTTAAAATATTTATTTATTTAAATGAATATTTCAGCATTTATTTGTCAGCTCCGTCTGTCCTCTTTGTTGAAGTCAATGGTAAATACTGTAGAGATGTCTCTCTGGTTCAAAGTGCATGTGTACAGTTGCTGTTATGAGCCCTTTTGGGATTTTCTGGGCATCTTCTCCTTTCAGAGCCATCGGTTTCAAAGGCATTTGCAGAATTAGAAGCATAGAATCATTTCAGTTTTTAACCCCATGTTGTGACCTCATTGTAAATTAAGGAAGAAAAATCAGAAACAGATTTGCTGCAGTGGTGTGCTCAAGGATAGTTCTAATAAAGATTCCCTAAATACAAATGGGAATTTGCATGGTTTGTCTGCAATGGTGTGCAAATATCATGAACGCTTCCTTCTTATTACATATCTTTTTTTTCTTGCCTTTTAAAAGGTTAATTAAGGGTAATAATAGATGTTGCCTCTATTGTGCTACCATTTTCAAACAGATAGAATCATAGCTGTAAGCTGTAAGAGTGACCTGGGATCAAGTGAGGAAGGCTAAAGCCCTAAAGGAATTGAATTCACCAGGTTGCCCAAAGCCTCATCCAACCTGGCCTTGAACACTGCCAGGGATGGGGCATCTACAACTTCTCTGGGCAACCTGTTCCAGTGCCTCACAATCCTCTGAGTGAAATATTTCTTCCTTATCATTGTTTCCTGAGGCTGCTTTTCAAAATATTCAAACCACCCAACTAAAAGCAGTTAATATTAGCATCTCGTAAAATGAGAACTCTTTGAACCGTTTGACATACTTATTTCAGGTGATGCCGTGAGCACATGAACAGTGTGAGAGAACTCTTGGCTGCCTCTGTAATTGCTGTCCAGAATTCCTGCTTCGTCTATCCTGCCTGTCAGAAATGCTTTTCTAGGCTGATACTGGATTCTAGGAGGTATGTCCTGTTTTGGAGTTTGTTAGCTGTAACTGTCAGAGGCCTTGGGAATCTCTGGGAGCTGAACACAAGTTGAAACAAATTGGTGAAAATCCAACCATTGTAGAAATAAGTGCTAATTTCAGATATTTATGTTACTTATCACAGAATCACAGAATGTTAGGGATTGGAAGGGACCTTAAAGGATCATCTAGTCCAATCCCCCTGCCTGAGCAGGACCACCTAGATCAGATCACACAAGAACGTGTCCAGGCGGGTTTTGAACATCTCCAGAGAAGGAGACTCCACAACCTCTCTGGGCTGGGCAGCCTGTTCCAGCGTTCTGTTACCCTTACTGGGAAGAAGTTCTTCCTCATGTTTAAGCGGAACCTCCTATGTTCCAGCTTATATCCATTTCCCCTTGTCCTACCATTGGATGCCACTGAGAAGAGCCTGGTTCCATCCTCATGGCAGTCACCCTTTACGTATTTATAAACATTAATGAGGTCCCCCCTCAGTCTCCTCCAAGCTAAAGAGACCCAGCTCCCTCAGCCTTTCCTCATAAGGGAGATGCTCCACACCCTTAATCATCTTTGTGGCCCTGCGCTGGACTCCCTCAAGCAGTTCCTTGTCCTTCTTGAACTGAGGGGCCCAAAACTGGACACAATATTCCAGATGCGGCCTCACCAGGGCAGAGTAGAGGGGGGAGGAGAACCTCTCTTGACCTACTAACCACACCCCTTCTAATACACCCCAGGATGCCATTGGCCTTCTTGGCCACAAGGGCACATTGCTGGCTCATGGTCATCCTGCTGTCCACCAGGACCCCCAGGTCCCTTTCCCCTGTGCTGCTCCCCAACAGACCCCAACTTGTACTGGTACATGGGATTGTTCTTACCCAGATGCAAGACTCTACACTTGCCCTTGTTGTATTTCATTAAATTTCTCCCCGCCCAACTCTCCAGCCTGTCCAGGTCTCTCTGAATGGCAGCACAGCCTTCAGGTGTGTCAGCCACTTATCACTATTTAGAGCTTATCACTATTTATCATACTTATCACTATTTAGAGCTCCCTGTAGTTCAGTAGCAGCGTGGAGGTCGTTATGGATTAAGAGTTTTACTACGTTCAATGCCATGCGATATCGACGGACAGTTTAGGAGAATAAACAATGTGTGTTAATAGCTTCCAGGTGCATCCCTGCAGTCCAGTTTTTCAGTGCTGCTCCTAAGTTGGAAAGCATTGTTTGAAAGCCTCTCCAAATCAAATCCTGAGATTTTTTTTCCTTCTCATTCTGTATGTGCAATGCATCAGGTAGTCCTGTATGACTCTTCCGCTTAACCATGTGTCTGCAAATGTGTGAGCTTTCCTTTTTGATCCCACTGTTGTGTGAAACCTGTGATACACAGAAGAACAGTAAATCAAAGAACATCAGCACTAAATGGAGGGAGCTGACTTTGCAAAGCAAGAGTATCTGTTGTTTCAAATGCTGAAATAAAAGATAACAGTGGTATTTCCTGGTGATTTTTTTTACATCTAGGTATTTTACTAAAGCTACAGGAAGAAAAATCCCAAACCAGAACAAAACATAAAAAACGGACATGCAGGGAATTCAGAATTACTCCCCAATAGGTCATTTGAAGCCCACTGTTTCTTTCCAATTTCACAACACGCCAGCATTTAATAAATCAATAAAAGGAGCCAGAGGGATTCTGTCGTGATACAGACACCTTGCTGAGCCTGTGGTAAGATTAATGCCTCAAGGAGTAAAGAATGAGAAGGAATCTTAGTTTGTAATGGAATATTTGATACGTAATAGTAGTAATACCTGACGGCTCCAGATGAGTTCTTACCTCAGCAGGGATTAACAGAAGTTTGTGTATTGAATCTTTTTTATCCTGTTTCTGCCTTTGTCAGGTTTAACTGTCTAAAATGCGGCTGCACAGGTGAAGCTAAAGATGCAAGCTACAGATACAGATTGTCCCTAAAGATTGCTGACACTCATGATTTGTTTGGCATCACTGTGTTCGGAAGCTGCTTAGATCCATTCTTTGGGGTCACTGCAGAAGATCTGCAGAGGTAAGGAATAGCTTGTTTCCAACTATATAGCTGCTGCTTTTTCTTCAGCCTAAAAAAATTGAGATGAGCCTGGATGGTGGGGAGGTGAGTGGGAAGAAGCTGCTAAAGTGCTCCCTTCCAGCAATTCCCTGGTACCCATCACCTTGAGAAAATGCTGAAGTTTTGTTTCTTCCTGAAATTTTGAGATGGATTGCTTCTGTAGTAGAAGTGTAGTAGAAGAGAATCCTCCACTTGTCTATTGAAGGCAGCTACCACCTGCTGGGTGAGCTTCACAATTTGGTTGGTCAGGCTTCTTCCTTGCATCCTTCCTATTTGATTGAATGTCCTTTGTCTAATGTCAGATGACTAAGTAAGTTGGCTTTTCCAGAGATTTTTTGCCTCAAGATTTTAAAAGAAGAATCTTAAAGTAGATAGAGCCTTCGAATTTGTTTTTTAAAAGTTTGGATTTAAAAAAAAAAAGTGGGCACCTTATGACTTTTCTTCAGTATGACCAGATTTTCTTTTAGGAGGGATTTCTAAGGAAGCCTGTTAGTCCTCAGGGCCTGATCACCCACGTTATAAGCTTCAGACTTTCCGATCCGTGAAACTGCTCGGATACATTCACTGCTGCTTTCTCTCCTCTGTTGTTTTCCAATGCCTTGTGCTGTCACTGGGTCAAAGATGAGCACGTTTTAAATCCCATATTAGCAACACGAATAACATACCTGTGGCAGGCATTCTACACGAGACTGCTGTACCGCTGTTGCTGTGGGAAACAGAGTTCTTTGCGTGTCTTGGTAGGGACACACAACTGCTGTTGCTGTAAAGGTGTGGGCAGAAGGGGTGTGTAAGCAATAGCAGCGTATTGGCAGCTTTATACAGTCACTGTGTTGGTGCAGAACTCACAGCCACACAGAGAGCACCTGAAAGTCGTGCATATATTAAATCTGTTCAGAGTGGGTATTTCGTTTGCTTCTAAGACATGAGCCAGCAGTGTGCCCAAGCAGCCAAGAAAGCCAACGGAAGCCTGGCATGTATCAGAAACGGTGTGGCCAGCAGGAGCAGGGAAGTGATTGTCCCCCTATACTCAGCACTGGTGAGGCCACACCTGGAGTACTGTGTCCAGTTTTGGGCCCCTCACTTCAAGAAGGACGTTGAGGTGCTGCAGTGGGTTCAGAGAAGGGCAACAAAACTAGTGAAGGGTTTAGAGAACTTGTCCTATGAGGAGCGGCTGAGGGAGCTGGGGCTGTTTAGCCTGGAGAAGAGGAGGCTCAGGGAGGACCTTATCACTCTCTACAGTTACCTGAAAGGAAGTTGTAGGGAGATGGGGGTCGGTCTCTTCTCCCACGTTATGAATGACAGGACGAGAGGGAGTGGCCTCAAGTTGCGCCAGGGGAAATTTGGGTTAGATATTAGGAAAAATTTCTTTACAGAGAGGGTTGTGAGGTATTGAACAGGCTGCCCAGGGAGGTGGTGGAGTCCCCATCCCTGGAGGTGTTTAAAAACTGTGTGGATTTGGTGTTGAGCAACATGGTTTAGGGACCCTGACAGTGCAGGGTGAGTGGTTGGACTTGATGACCTTAAGGGTCTCTTCCAACCAGACGATTCTATGATTCTATGATTCTATTTCCCTGACACATCAAGTGAACTAAACAATGCAATGTGTAGGTTCATGGTTTCCTGTTTTCATCCAATGTTTAGTTTAAGCTGCTGCAGTGTCTTCTCTTTAGCATGTGAGGCGCCAATTTGGCTTAACCTCCCCCGGGGGGGATGGGACTCAGATCTGGTGGCACAGGGAGCAAATCCCCTCCCCTGCCACCAGAACACCCCCCCACACATCAAACTATCACAGAAGGCTTCCTCTGTTGGTCCAATACTTCTTCATGTTTTTACTCAAGGTATATTCAAGACTTCAATCAGCTGTCAGGAGAAACAAACACAGATGCATCTCCAGGAGTGTTAGTTCAAGCAGTGGAAACCTGTTTCATTGGAAAAAGATTTATATTTGGAGTGAAGGTAACTTTTAATCCACAATACTCTCTTATAATGAGTTTTTTCATTAGCTTGTAGCTGGTTGGGGGCATAGACTGAGTTATCAAAGCACCATGTACAACATCTTTTGGGATTTCGAGGAAACTTAGGGCTAGGACATGGGAAGAATTCTTCTCTCCCTCCAGACTCCTGTGTTATTTTAAATGCATCACATCCAAAAGTCATCCTGAATGGCAGTAGTCAGCTTGACAGCTTGTCAGGGCTGCTTTTCGGAGAGCCTGAGCAGTGCCAGCTCCTGTGCATATCAGTAACAGCTTGGAGTCTGTAAAAAAACACGTACAGTTCAAGCAAGAAACAGACTGCCTTTTCAAGCACTGCCCTACCTTTCCCATGCTGCATAGTCTCCTGATGCCTGAAATGTCAGGAGAAGCACGTCCCTTTGCAGCAGTTTGATGTTTCTGGATGTAAGACCGTGTTTAAAAATGCTGATAAAGTACAGCTGTTTGTCGTATGCATCTGTGGCTCTTTTATGTGATTAACAGACTTCGAAATTTTAGTTCTTAGAAGACTGTTTCTATGGCAATATTACTAAGTTCTCTTCAAGTGGTGCTTGTGTGAGTCACTCATATTATGAAGTCTGCGGACTAAATCCTACCTGGCAGGTGTTTTTCCTTTCCCACAGGCACCATGAGGTTTTCATGAGCTGAGATTTTCCTAATGTACAGCGTCTTAAGTAGTGGAAGTTGGAGCGTTTCATGGATTGACTTTACTTAACTGGAACCATTCACCAGGTCTCTAGGTCTGATACGTTTACAAATATCCTACATATATAGATATTTACAAATATCCTACAAATCCTACATATGGAGAGCCTTGTGCCTGCTCCTGCACACAGAAGGACCGAACACACATTTGAAGACTGTTTGTCCAGCCTTTCGCTGTACATGTTTCTGCATAGTTGTGTTCAACTATGCATACAGTTGCACTCTCCCAGATCAAACTCAGAATCAACATAACGTACGTTTTTAAGATGTACCGAGAAAGGTATTGTCCTTGGCTAGCAGCCTTCAGCCTCAACCTGTGCGTAGACGCGGGCAGTAGGAGGGTTGTTGAATTCGAAGACAGCTCTGTTTATTTTTCGGCCTCTCTGGCGTTGCCACACCTTGAGGGGAGGTGAAAAAGGGTTTAACCACTTCTCAAAACAATAGATAATTCTCTCTGCTTTTAATGTCACTTTTCACCTATAATTTCTGCGTATAGAGAAGCAAGTTCCATAAAGAATTGCAGCTGAAGCTCCTTTAAAACACCACTCTCCAAATAAATCTGAGAAGATAAAGGTTCTAGCTTACTTCCCTTTCACAGAGGCAGTGCATAGAAACCATCATGCTGGCTCTGATAGCTGAGCTGCCAAGTCCAGTATCTGGTACTGGAGTGCTTTGCTTCCAGTACTGCCCAGTGCCTCCTAAATAAAAGCAAAGCACTGCCTTAGGCAGCTAGCCATTTGCACAGAACTGCACTGGAGGACGCCCAGAAGCACCCAGTGCCCTAAAGGGAGAAGGAAATTTTCTGTGAAGTCCTTTCTTAGAATTCTTGGTTGTTTTTCCAGCTCCAGAACTCTGCGTAATTGCAAACAGCAAAGAACCTCTCACTGTGACGCCCTTTATAGCCCTTGCCAGTGCTTATTTCCCAGGGAGTACTGCTTTGTGTGACAGACTGGTTTTTTTTTTTTTCTCTTCCCTGCAGATCCTGGCAAAAAGTGAGACCTAAATTTAAGCCTGACTTAAAAGACGTGTTATTTTTTTTTCTATCACAAAATAAAGCATCGCACTAACTTTTTTTTTCTCTTTCCCCCAGAGTTGTGCAAGAGAAGATGGAGGGTGTTCTGCTGCCAGCAGCATCTTGCAAAACTGTTCCAGAATTAATAGGAGTACAAAAAACCTTACAGCTTGCCAGATCTTCCTGCCAAACGCTGCTGTTACTGGCTTTACTGTTATCAGCTACTTCCATCGGCTCCTGCAATCAGCAAAATTCAGGAGCTGCAATAACAGCTCATACTTCCCTGATGCATCTTCAGCTTCAATAGATGAACCTGTCAGTGAGCTCAGCAGCTTGTCTGGCCTGAGCAGAAACTCCTGGTTTGATCAGTCTAGTGGCAGAGAAAGTTTTTTCGGGTCCTGGCAGCAGTCCTTCAGCCTGACTTCATCTGTTGCTTGGGTAACAGCGGAAGACTTTCCCACTCTGGAAGCAGGAAAGCTGGTGAGTGAACAGCCTGAAAAAGAAGAGAGGCTTGTTCTGCAGAGGCTTCTCTCTGCAGAATCATGCAGCGTAAGCCACAACAATCAAACTCTTTGGCATTCACAGTTTTGTAGCTTTTCTGTGAAGGAAAGGGATAAAGAGGAGGATAATGAATTGTGTTCACAGCCTAGTCAGACTGACAGTATCTCTGCAACGGATGAATTAGAGAGAGTATCCTCTTCAAAGACTGAGTGTTCACATGGAAACAGTTCCAGGTTGTTACAACATCCTTTGGAATTTGGAGTAAAAAGCGTTTACCCAAAGACTAGTAATAGCAATTATTCTTACCTAGAAAAATCCCACAACTCCCTTTTTTATGAGAGAGATGCCTCAGCTTCTAATCACGTAAGTGTAGCTGGAGCATCTCAGACAGACTCTGTGCTTTGGGATGAGCTCCCATTCTCAGAAAGCCTAAATGAATTTTTAGCCAGAATAGAAGATGGCAAGAGTGTTGTAACATCACCCAGCCTTGATTCAGGCAAACAAACCCTTCCTGAAGGTAGCAATTTGGTTGTACATCCTGGCAGGTCACATCCCAGGCGAACCCTAGTAACTGGTGGTTTGCCTGAAGCGAGTGTCTCGGGGAGGTTCTTGCCTCCAGCAGAGAATGATAGTTGGGAGAACATATTGTTTGCTTGTCTTCAGTCGAATGCAAATCCTCCAAGGGATGAGGTGTCACAATGTGAGTCTTCCTCTAGTGTTTTATCTTCAGCTGACAAGGAATCTGGAGCATCTTGCTTTATACCTAACCCTCATCTACCTATTCTGTCACAGTCCTTGCCAGTTACATCAGAGTCTTCTGTTTCTGAGAGCAGATATGTGCAGTCCAGAGAAGCAAATACTGACATTTCAAAGTCAGCTTTTATGAGTCTCTGCTGTGCTGCTGAACATGGAGAAACCTCCTGTTTAAAAAGGAGCAAGGCAGCTACCTGTGTGCGTTCTGCACATGGTAGCTGTTCAGCTGGTTGTGAAAATAAAGAAAACTATTGTTCTACACCAAGCCAAAGAACAGATCTCACGTTCACAGGGACATGGGGCTCTGATCCAGCAACTCCCAACAATGCAAGGCAGATACATAAAAGAGAATTAAAACCATTGACAGAACTGTCAGAAAATACCTTCAGAAGCATTAATAAGAGAGAGATGCTGTGGAACAAGAGCTTCCCTGAAGGCAGCTACAATGCTTCTGCTGATCTCTTTGATGCAAGTGCAAGAGAGGTGGCAAAACCCGTAGAATTCTTAAATAAATCGTGTAATTCTTTAGTACAGGAAGATGCTTCGACAGAAAAGGTCACAGTCCCTGAATTGGTGCTTTATCCTGGAGATGTCCCCTGTAACAGTTCAAAACCAAGCTCGTCCCTGCGTGGGTCCCCTCCTGCTCTTAGTAAGCACAGTACACCAGTAACTTACTCCTTTTGGGATTCAGAATGCCATTCAGTTAGCGCTCAGGACTTTGTTCCTTATTCACAGTCAACTCCTATGACAAAACCTCTCCAGAAGCGTTGGCCTGTTGGGGAAGGAAGCTCTTCTGTCACTGTGTTCACCCCTAAAAATCCTGCTAAAATCCATTCCAAAGGCAAGCGATCTAGGTCTTCCTTTCAGAACACTCTGTTGCAGCAGCTTTCTGGCAGGTTAGTGAAACGGGAAAGGCCAAGTAACAGGGAAGACAAAGAAAGTAACAACGCTGTTTCATTCCTGAAGAGCCAGCTGCCTGCCACCTTTGAGGAGTGGATCCCTCCATCTGCAAGCAAAAGGTTGAAGCCAACTGCATCTTTAACCTTAAAAACGCTTAGCTGGGCTCCTGACCCATCGGCCTGTGGGCACGCTGGCAGGAACCCTATTTCTGAAAGCAGAGAGAACAGTGAAAATGATGGATGCTTCAGAAATGAACGATTAAACCCTGGGAATACAGCCAGGATACGGACAACTCCTGTATCTGCAGGTGTCACGAAGGCCTTGTTTTTAAATGATATAGTCCTGGAAACTTGTTCCCCTTCAGAAGGCAAGAATCTCCTCCCAGGTGCAAATTATTCAGGGGGTATATTGGAAGGGGCAGCTGGTTGGTCTCCCGAGTTGTTCTTCCAAGCACGGAGACCTTTTTCTAATAAGCTGAAATACTAAAAGGTGTTTCTGTGCTATGTTCTGTTTAATTATTTTTAAGATTTTGGAGAAGGAGCCAGTTGAAGAGAAAAGCTACTTAAAAACAGTTAAATTGTGTATGTTTATTTGCAGAGCTTTGTACCACAGAGATGGGTGGGGGGGGAACAGAATTTGCAATTTATTTTCCTGTAAATTAACTTTAGAACGTGCAATAAAAACTTTTGTTAACGTGTGTACTTAACAGATCTAACTTTATCAAGTACAGGTAGGTGAAGCGTCACAAGAAGAGCTCCTGGAGTCTGTGTCCACTCCAGATCCTTCCTACCTGATGATTTTCTATGGAGAAGGGTCAAGTTTTCATCAAAGAATTTCATATACCATATGGGAGCCCATTTGGGATCCTATGATGGAGTTGGGTTGGGGGTGGAGGGGGACACCATCCTGAGAGGCTGGTAGCACCTCCCAGTTTTCCTGTAGGCTTTTCCGAGTTAAAAGACTGCTACTGGCACGTTCCTGGCAGTGTCTTTCCTCTTGCTTGCTTTGGGATCTTCCCTATCTCCCACCTAGAACAGCTGCATTTAGAGTCACTGAACAGAGAAATTTGGAGCTACTGCTGCAAGCTGGTAGGTCAGTTCCTGCAGAGGGATGTGGAAACCTGATGGCACAGAATCCCAGCAGCAGCCTGAAAATGCTGGCTTGCAGAACCAGAAGCAGGCCTAAAATGATCTGTTGTGGGTTTTTTTGAGGCATAGGATGAATCTTTTAGGTTAGATATCAGGAAAAATTTCTGTACAGAGAGGGTTGTGAAGTATTGGAACAGGCTGCCCAGGGAGGTGGTGGAGTCCTCATCCCTGGAGGAGTTTAAAAACTGTGTGGATTTAGTGTTGAGGATCATGGTTTAGGGACTCTGACAGTGCAGGGTGAACAGTTGGACTCAATGATCTTGAGGGTCTCTTCCAACCAGATGATTCTATGATTCTAATACGCACCATTGACATTGGGACTGGTGACTTGGTTCATTCACGGATGCAGCATGGACATGACGATGTTTCTGTGTTTGAGGCTGCACTTTATTTCTAATGTCCCAGACTCGGTGTTTGTTCAGAAGAGTTTTGTGTCTCTGCCTGCAAGGAACAACCAGAAGCGCTTGACCTTCATGTTATAAAGACGCTGCCTCTGCCCTGTGAAATCCAAGAGGCAGAAGTTGTTGGAAGTTTGCAGAGTGTTACGGGAATGTATCGTGTTGTGCTCATCTTGTTCCCGCGTGGCTAGAAGGGCTTCTTGTGTGAATCTGAAAGGCTTCTCCAAACTTACGTTCACTTGGTCTCATGATAGGTACCTCACTGGGGCATCCACACACGCCAGTGTGTCAAGGCAGGACATGCCTAAGACAGCCAATGGAAACCGTGTTTGGGATGGATGGAAGAGAGAGACCTTTGGAATTTGAGCTGGAGTCTTTGTGTGCCTTTATAGTTCTTCTATAAAATAAATATGTACCTGCTGCTTATTATCAGGACACTCAGGGAAGTATGAGGGCAGTTATTCTCTCACCCCCTTGTCCTTTATCCGCTATTTTTAGCATGGATTGCCCTTACAGAACATAGAGGTAAACCTTTCCAGTTTCTCGGTCTCGACCCTAAGTTCTGCACCTTCTAATCAAATGCCTTTCTCATCAAGGGGTGGGACGAGAGGAGCATTTGAAATCAAACACACTTGTTCTGCAGCTGAGCAGGGTACTGGTGAGATGCAGCCTCTCCTACCGAGGGGCACGCGGTTTTTCCTGCAGGCGGAATGAAGGAAACAGTCCTCACAGCTACACAGCAAATCTGTGCAAGTAAACTCACTTTACAAAGACGTTTTTCCATAGCAGTCAGTTTTGGTTGTTGGTTGGGGTTTTCCTTCCACTACTTGCTTACAGTTGGGGAAACTGAGGCACAGGTTCAAAGACTTGCCCAACATGAAGAGCCTGTGGAGCTTAGGTCTGGATATCACCAAAAGACCTTAACCAGCCAACCATCTTTTCTTCTTGCTGTCCTACTCAGCAAGATACTCAAGCACAACTCAAAAGTACTTCCCGATGTTTAAGGAGGCTGCAACAGCAGGTGATGGTGGCCAGAGGCTCGAGGGCTCTTCTTACAGGTCCAAGCCTGGACCCCTGCAGTCTCTGGATCCTAGACATAAACAGAAGGGGAAAAAGAATTAAAACAACATCCAGTTATATATATAAAAAAAAGTATGTGTGGGGAAGCAGAATTAAACATAATGTGATGACCAAAGTAACTTCAAGCATCCTACCTGTGAGTGGAGTCAGCTACAGGCTGTGGCAGTGACACCAGGCGAAGCAGAACACAGTGACGCTGCGCTGTGAGTCCCTCTTGCAGGGCTTCTGGGCACAGCCACAGGGACGTGACGGTCGCAGAAGACGTGCTGACTTTACAAGCTGCTGGTGGCTTCCCCAGCTGAGCTTTAGCCCTGCTCTTGATGACAAATTGGGGCATCAGAACTGCAGGTTCAGCCAGGAAGCTGAAGGTGAGCCCAAGTGAAGGAGCCTCTGCTTGTGCCTGCGTTTACCAGCATTATACCTGTTCAAAAGATTTCATTTATTGCAAATAAAAATCCTACTTGATGGATCTGTTAGAGGCAAGTGGAAAAGGAGTAAGAACCACAGCCTGCCTGGAAGTGGTAAATCTGCACTGATAGCTTCTGTGGAGGACAAAATGGGAAAGAGCATTACTCCTACACAACTCACTGAGCACAGGGAAGGCACTGTTGAAAGGGTTTTAAGGCATCAGTGGTCAAACAAATAAAGCTTGAAACTAGTTGTTTCTGCTACAGCCTGCCACATAACGCAGTGTCACTGGCTCTTCAAGCACTCCCGTGGGATGAACTGGACAAACACCCACTCTATCATGGGGGTTAGACCAGACCCAAGTGATGCACCTGACTATGAAACACTGCCAGAACTTCTACATCAGATATCTGACAGCATCTTGACATGAAGTGTTTTGTCCAGCATGAGTGATTTTATTCAGCAGAGAATTCGTCCACATACCACGGTAAGCGATAGCTTTGGTGCAAGCTGATTTGATTATAATTGTAAGTTTGTACAAAAAGAATAAAGCTCAGCATGTTTAATTCTGAAGGTAATAAAACTCCTGAAAACGCATACCAGGTTTGTGGTTGATTCCCTGTGCATAGAAATCCATAAATCACAACTAGATTTTAAATTAGGTAGGACTGTCTGTACGATACCATTGAAATCAATGCAGGGTGGTCCGATCTCCTTTGCTTTGTGTGAGGGGACTGCACACATAGCAAGACCAAAAAGTACTGTTGTGTGACAGGCCCCTGTCAGCAAGATGACATCTTCTGGGCACAGCTCCCCGAGCGCTCGGTAGGAAGACTTTGTACATGAGAAGATGGAGAAGAGACCATAAGTGGTCTTGTCTGTGCCCCTGTGGTCTGTCAGTCTTGTATTTGTCCCCCTGGGTGGTTTGTTCCCTTTTTGCAGGGACCCTTTGTGCTCCTACAACCCTCTTACCCGCAGCAAAGCCTGGCATAGGCTCTCTCCATGACCTTGCTGCTACACCTTCTTGACACAGAGAAGGCCCACACCTTACCTGCTCCTTGCAAGGAAGAGTAGCCACTCTTCACCTGTCCCTTACCATTCCCCAGGAAAAGCTTGGTCTGGCTTCTCCAACCATCACCCCACAGGCACCGCACTCCAGCCATCCTCTCTTTCAGCAGATACTCAATTCCCAAGCTGTCTGAGCTTTAAGCATGTTTTCTTCCCCTTTCTTTGCCCAGCTCCTACCCAGAAGCATGCAAGGACTTTTCCCTCTCCAAACACCTCTCTGTTTTGCCAGCTTCCTGGGGAACAGAGAGCAGATGGTCCAGCCCTCATGGCAGACATTTACCAAGGAAGGAGCTTCAAGGTCAGTGGAAGAGGCAATAAAAGACACATGGTGTCTTCAAGCTTCACAGCTCATTTCTCAGTGTAAGTGTTAGCAGAAGTCATCTTTGATGTGGAAGAGAGCGCAGGGGAAGAAACCTGGTCCCCAGAATGAGTCAGAGCACCGACTTTATATATTGACCAAAAGACTAAAAGGCTTAAAATGGGTGATCTTGTCCAAAAGGATTCTAGACCCTCAGAAAGGCAGGTCATTGGGGAACTCCAGGGGAGTTCTATGAGTGGGAAAAGAGCAAGTAGAAGGCTGAAGAGAAGAGATAACATTAATAAAAAAAAAAAAAGAGAAACAACAACAAAAACGCAAACACCAATCCACCTGGAATACTGTGTTCAGCTCTGGAGTCCCCAACACAAGAAAGACATGGAGCTACTGGAACGAGTCCAGAGGAGGGCCACGAAGATGATCAGAGGGCTGGAGCACCTCTGCTATGAAGACAGCCTGAGAGAGTTGGGGCTGTTCAGCCTGGAGAAGAGAAGGCTCCACGGTGATCTTATAGCAGCTTTCCAGTACCTAAAGGGGGCCTACAGGAAAGCTGGAGAGGGACTTTTTACAAGGGTGTGTAGTGATAGGACAAGGGGCAATGGCTTTAAACTGAAAGAGGGCAGATTTAGGTTAGATATAAGAAAGAAATTTTTCACTTTGAGAGTGGTGAGGCACTGGAACAGGTTGCCCAGAGAAGTTGTGGCTGCTCCATCCCTGGCAGTGTTCAAGGCCAGGTTGGACGAGGCTTTGGGCAACCTGGTGTCGTGGAGGGTGTCCCTGCCCATGGCAGGGGGGTTGGAACTAGATGATCTTTAAAGTCTCTTCCATCCCAAACCATTCTATGATTCTGTGACTCTATAACAAAACCAACAAAAGCCCAAACAGATAATGGGACAAAGAATAAAAGATACCTGAAGCATCTGACCATCTTCATCCGACACAAGCCTAGCATCTGGCTAGGACAGCCACAGGTTTGCAATGACGCTGGTTGAAAATGGTACCTCCATCAAAGACCCCCCTCTAGTGACTAACGCTGGCATTCCGGTGGCATTTCAAACTTCGCTAGGA